CCACTCTGGGGGGGAGTCCTCGTCCTTGTCCTCCTCGTTCTCCTCCTCCTCGTCCTCCTCGTCGTCCTCCTCGTCCTCCTCCTCCTCCTTTTCCTCCTCGTTCTCCTCGTCGTCCTCCTCCTCCTCCTCCTCTGCTTCGGACGGCTCGAGTGAACGACGAGAGGGAGGGTGGAGGGCCGTTATATTACGGGGAGTGAGGAGGCACTTTCTGCTGCGGACGGCACGAGTGACGAGAGGGAGGGCCGTTTATGGGGCACCAGGCGGACGTCGGAGCATCTCACGCAGACCTCGGCGCAACGGAGGCGGGCGGAGGAATGATGCGGGAGGACGGGGACCCCGCGAAAGCCTTCCTCGGGGCTTGGGGGACGCAGGCCAACCTTTCGCGGACCGAGGCCCGCTCGAGACCCCGCCCCCCTCCGCCTCCTCCTGCCTTATGGGCTCCTCGAGGGCGCAGCCCATGCCCTCCAGGATCTTGGCACGGGCGCGGAGCTGGCATCGGTCCGGCACCGCCGAACAGGACGACCTCAGCGACGGGGACGGGAGAGAGAGAACCAGCGAGCGCGTTCCACCACTCGCAAAGTGCCTACTCGCACATGTGAGAAAAAAAACACATCCCTTCCTGCCTACATGTAACTAATAGATCGTATACCCCTCGCGGCGGATCTAGGCCATTTGCGAGTAGTTACTTTGCGAGTAGTGGAACGCGCTGGTCCAGAGGAGGAGGGTCTGCCCAGCTCGGTCTCCCAGAGCCCCACCGCACTGGAACCTTCGCGCTCGGCATCTCGGAGAGCCGAGGAACTATCCTTCGGTAGCAACTCGTGGGAGCCTGGTCTACCCTCTTAATTCCGTCTTGAGCGTCGATTAGCGTCGATTAGCGTATCGGAGTCGGTAAATTAGGGCCGACTTATCATCGGTTGGCGTCGATTAGCGTCGATTTAGCTTCGATTAGCGTCGATTTAGCGTCGACTAGCGTCGACTCGCAAGAGCCGACAAGATGGTATGGGAGGCTCCCATGAGTTGCCACCGAGCGCTCCAAAACCCGACGCGAAGAAAGCAGGGCTCGTTTGAGAACCCCTCGCCGCCATCGTGAGCCAGGGACAAAGTGAAAAAGGGAGGGCGCGGCCAGGTTCTCTCTCCATCGGCCACAGCCTCCACGTCGGCTGGCACGTCGGATAGCCCCCACGGAACGAGATCGGAGCGACTCGTTCGGAGCACGCTCACCGAGGTGACCCTGCTCGTCCACCAGGACGAGGCTCCCGCGACACAGTAAGTCGTGCAGGGCCAGGTTCCCGCACGACGGATCCATCTCGGTGAGTGGGTCCGTCGGCATGCGTCCATGGGGGGCCCACCAGACCTGGGGCCCCATCGATGATGTTGATGATGCTGATGATGACGAGGAGGACGACGAGGAGGAGGCGGCGGAGTCGGAGGAGGAGGAGGAGGAGGCGGCGGAGGCGGAGGAGGAGGCGGCGGAGGCGGAGGACGAGGAGGAGGCGGCGGAGGAGGAGGAAGAGGAGGAGGAGGAGGAGGAGGAGGCGGAGGAGGAGGAGGAGGATCTCCACTCGCCGCGAGCTCCACGGCGTTGCGCCGAGCGGCGCGGGCTCCGACGGAATCGTGCGACAGCGCGTCGGGGATCTGATCTGGCGTCCACACGACGGCCAGCCCCTGGGCGGCCTCGCTCGGCCGGCACCCTGCGAGGAGAGCCTCCCCGAGAACGGTGCCCGAGCTCTGTGCCAGTCGGGCCGGGGCGCGTCTCCAAACACCGCGTCGCGCAAGAGCACCTGCGGCGATGGGCCTCGGCCCGGGCCCTGGAGAGGGCGGCGATCCAGGGGGGGGAGGGGGGGAGAGGGTGGCGAGCAAGGGGGTGGCGAGCAAGGGGGGGAAGGAGAAGGGGGGGCCTCGGCCTTGGCCCTGGAGAGGGTGGCGAGCAAGGGGGGGAGGCCTGGAGGAGAAGGCCTTCTCAGAAGGTTCGGAAGTCCCCCGGCCTGTGAGAGGTGTTCTGAGCTCTTCGCGAGGACAGTAGAAACGCCAGCCAGCGTTGGCTTCAAATAGATAGGAGGACAGGAGGAGGACGAGAGGAGGATGAGGGGAGGACGAAAGGAGGACGGGAGCAGGACGTCAGAAGGACGCGAGGATCAAAATCAAGCAAGGGCAAGCAAGCAAGCAAGCAAGCAAGCAAGCAAGCAAGCAAGCAAGCAAACGGAAGCAAGCAAGCACAAGCGAGCAATAACAAGCAAGCAAGAGCCAGCGTTCAAGTATAAGCAAGCAAGGACAAGCAAGAGCAAGCAAGCGAGAGCAAGCACGCAAGAGCAAGCAAGCAAGTGCCATTGAAAAAAGGGGGGTTGCCATTGGAAAAAGGGGGGGGGTGCCATTGGAAAAAGGGGGGTCCTAAAGACCAATGGCTTAATGATGAGCTAGGACTCCTATGGGGCAAGCCTATTTGGAGAACTTCCCAGATGGCGCGAGCGCTTCTGAGAAGTCCCGCCGCCTTCTAAGAAGGCCTTCTCCTTTTTATTTCTCGGGCCGACCGAAAGGGGGCATAGGGAAAGGGGGGGTGACGAAATCTGCTGCATGCAGCCGGTTCCGGCCCCGCCGCTGGGCCCACTCCTCGATGCATGGGCGCCTCCTGGCGCCGGGAGGCGCTGGGAAAAGCAGCTACGTGAGCTGATTCTCTGCCCTGCCCTTTGCTACATCCCTCCCTTCCGTTCCCCCCGAATCTCCCCCCCTCGCTCGCCGCCGATGGAGAGAGCCAGGGTCTCGGCCACCACAACACCGGGGACCGCACGCTGTCAGCCCCTGGGAGCGCCAGGCCCACTTGTGGGCGCGGAGGCGCCACGATGTCAGGAGGGGAAACACACAGACGCAATGAATCATCAATCCCCAGGAAAAGAAGTGTGGGGAAATATGGGAAATGGGGGGGGGGCCGACGAAAATCCTGAAGATACTGGGAAATTGGGTGCATCTTGGGCTTTGCGTGTTTTTTTTTTTTTTTTTTGTGTGTGTGTGTGTGTGTGTGTCCCTTGGCCCCTTTCTCACGAGACCAGCGCCTTGGGCTCCCCCCCCTCCTAGCAGAGCCTGGGCCGCCAGCGTTACCGGCAGCAGCAAGCACGAGTCGGAGGATCCGGCCCCCTCGCTGTGACCTTCTGCTCTGTTTCACCGAGCGCGTTCCACTACTCGCAAAGTGCCTACTCGCAAACGTCCGAAAATCACATGTCTGCTTTTAGGTAATATATCGTAGATCCCGCGCGGGGGATCCAGGCTACTTGCGAGTAGTTACTTTGCGAGTAGTGGAGCGCGCTCGTCCGTCTGTGGATCCCCGGAGAGGTTTGCACAAGTAGCACCAACTCCAGGAGGAAGGTTGGGGCCGAAGCTGGCGAAAGCATTGTCCCGGAAGTATTTCGGCTTCGTGGTTCGGGCCTGGCGCCGGCACCTCTTCGGTGTCTGCCCCTATCCGCGAATGCATCGTCAGAGTGGAGTACATCTACGACCCTTTCGTGATCTTCCTGCTTCGCCATTGCCATACAACTCCTTGGCTCTCAGCGTGCTCAGTTTCGTCTTGCAGCTGGTCGCCCCTGCAAGCGACCTGCTCGCCACAGGGCGCACTGTGCTACGCAATCTGGTCCATGGATCAGGGAACTGGTTGTCTAAACATGGCGAGTACAACCTCGATTCCTTCTCCTTTTCGCTTTGTGTTATCCCGGCATCTCGCAGCTGTTAGGAGGACAATGACCGACACGTACCCACGATGGCGTGAGCTCTATGCGAAGCTTCAGGAGATAGTCCTATGCAACGAGGCCCCCTCTTCTATTGCGATGACAATCGTGGCTGCGTTCTTTGTCGGTGGTCACGCTAGGCTCCGCCCGAGATGCATTGACCAGAAGTGGTTTCAGCATGCGTCCATACTATTTCAATTGGTGGACTTTTGCCCGGCGCTTCCAGCAGCAAGCGCCGTGCTTGTGTTGCATGGGAGAGTTTGCATCCGGTTCGATAGAGCATTATGTCCAGCTGCCTGCGGCAACTCCTGCCACCGTGCCAGTCCAGCATGTTGGGTTGCCACTATTCGAGGGGGCACGGGAGGCCGTCACGTGTGACACGTCGGGCCTCCTGAAGGTTTCTGGGGCCTCTTGAGGGGTTGCTGGGGGCATCTTGGGGCTTTCTGGCAGCGCTTTGGGGACACCTCGGGGACACCTTCTGAGCCGTCTGAGGGCGCTCGGGGGCCGTACTGATGCTGTCAAGGCCTTCGATCGCATCGAGCACCACTCTCCTCGAGGCGCTGGGCCGGCAGGGCGTCCCCGAACCATATTGACGTCATGATGTTCCAGCTTGCTGTAACCTTGATCACCAGATAGTGCCGAAACTTGAGGGTTTTCACGTGTTGGGCCCTGGGAGACACTCGTTCGACACTTTTTCGACACTGTTTCGACACTGTTTCGACCCTGTTTCGACACTTTTCCGGGTGCTCGAAATTGTTATTGGGATGTGGTCCTTGAGTACGATGGGAGCAACACAATATTTGCGGCTTCTCTTTTACGTCCACGACCAACAGAAAGGCGTGGTCAACGGCAATGGGCCTTTTCGACATCACGCGCGGAGTGAAACAAGGCGACGTTCTGCCTTCGCTTCTATTCAATCCTGGGCTTGAGGACTCGATTTGGCGTTTTTTGACAGTGGAATAGAAGTGGGAGGGTCAGAACGATTGAGCAACATTGGATCTGCGGATGACATTCTCCTATACGGGAACTCGGTGGGCGAATGCGCCATGATGCTCCGCGCGCTGATTGACGAGCTTGCCGCATGCGGTCTGTCGTTAAACGCAAGCGAGACAACAGGTCTTCACCAATGACCTCACTTATGCCTGCGCGGAACAACCAGTGCCTTTTGGCTTCGACGGGTATGACTTGTTTGTGGTGAGTAAGCACGACTGCCACAAGTACCCGGGCAAGAAGTTAAGCGGTGATGTGAGGGAGGGTCTGTGCGCAACCAGAACTACCGCTTAGAGT